AAGAGACTGTGGACCTGTCGTCTGACAGATTACTGATGAATGAGCAGGTCACTAATGTAAAGCTAAGCAAGTTTTTAAACATTATTTAATCAAAGTATCTGTGAAGAATTCTATCAATTCGTGTAAATGATTATCTTTGTTTTGAGCTGGGATATCGTATTCGGTACAGGACTGGACGCGGGCTAAAGGACCGAGATGTCGGAGTTCGAGTCTCACTTGGTTCAAGAACTTACTCTTCTCCAAGTTGTCCAGACCGTTGTCTGGGCTCCAACCAGTTTCCTAACCAATGTGTACCAGGGATCCTTTCCCCAGGAATAAAGCGGGTAGGAGCGTGAAGCTGATCATTCTTCTCCAACTAGTGTCGAGTTCAAGAAAACGTGGATCCATACATGCACTCCACCATGCGTCATTATGGCGTACTGCTTAATCTGCTAAGCACAGGGACAACTTTATCTTACCTTTTATTGTCCTCCGTTTCCCAAGCCTGTAAATAATGGTCTTTATTTTCCGAATCTCCGTCGCTGCCTGTGCCTATTCATTCGTAGTCTGTTCCATTCACTTTACATAACCTACATATATGTACTCCACATGGGAACTTTTATCATAAGAATATCAGCTGTGAGTCTATTTGGATGCAGCGGTTCCTGATTCGAATGTTGTAAGCCCAACGGAACACTGAGCAATTAGGTGGCTCATTAATTAAGCAATAACTTCCGCGAATCCTCACGATTCTCATATTCACTGAGGGAAAATTTAGACTACCCTCTTTGGCGGATGATCACCTTTATCCTACTAACAGTCTCTTCTTCAGTTGTTTCCTTTTTCGAGAACGGCATCGTATCACGCAGAGTATTTTAGCTGTATTTAAAAATACGTCGAAAAGCCACTGAATCTTTGTGGCTGTCTGCACATGCTTCTCAATGTAGACTGCAGCAGGGTCTGTACAGATAAAAGTACAGTCGTGATTTGCTTTCGGTTCACATTAAAACGTCTCCCAAACTCCTTCAAATAAAATTAAATTCAGACATATATAATAAGCTGTATATTAGAAAATTATTATATCCAGCAACAATAGTTTGATGCAGTATGTCCACTGTAAATTCGTATTCAATATGATTTGCCACATAAGTCCCGAAAAGACGTGATCCCTAATTTTGCATTCAGAAAATCAGAAAAAGAATCATTTTTGAGTAAATTTAATGTCATATAGTTCTGAGGGTTCTAGTAAAAGTAGAAGTAAAGCAAAGATATCCCTGCAACAGACCGTGGAGCTTAGTAAGGTTGTGAGAGGTTGAGGCTAACACTTGTTCTGGACAATCGGCTCACTAATAGTGGTAAGTTTGTCAGCTTTACGCGCCGGAAGCCCTTTACACCCCAGGAAGATTTTTGTACTTATTTTTGTTAGAGGCTGAGTCGACCCCAGGGCCATAGTGCGGCTGGAAGAATTAGGTCAATTGAAAATTCCAATGACCTCATCGGGATTCGATCCCGCGACCTTCCGGCTTGTAATTTAGTGCCTCAAACAAATACGGTACCTCGTGCCCCCTCTGAGGGTTGTAAGCAAAAAATAAATAAGAACTTCATTATTCAGAAATCATAAATTCAAAATTGAATACCTTGCATATAATTCCAGGCAATCTCACAAAAATCATTAGAATTAGCAATATGAACTCCTCATTATCATCTTCTTCATCTTAAGGACCCAAAGAAAGAACACACATGATGACATGTCTTTGTTTAAGAAACAGTCTCTGAAAGATGCTTCGCCTTATATTTAGAACAATACATTGAAGGTAAGGTAGATCTGTCCTTGTGTTTAATTAATTAACCACCATGCCATGAAGATGTATAGTGGAGTGGAGGAATAGCTCCACCATTGTTGACCTCGGCACTAGATAGTGATTCATCGCCTTTACGCTTCGGCCGGGGAGGCCGTGATGGGCCCCAGAGCTGATCTAGAAGCTGTGGAGAAAAGAAAAAAACACTCTACACCAAGAATCAAACCCCTGCTGTCCCGTCCGTAGCCCGTCGCTACACCAGCTGAGCTCTCACGGCTCCTTATATAAGGACAAATATTTCAATATCGTGTTTTCTGTTCGACAGAAAATTTGCTGAGCGGGGACACAGTACGGTTGCAGAATGTGGTCCCCGGACACCCCACTCACCCACCACCACCACCCCCTGTACGATGTACACTGAGGAAACACAAACCGAACCGGAAGCCGCGGACACCTTTCACAACTCAGCAGTTGCTGTCTCTGGAGAAGAAGTTCCGGGAGAAGCAATACCTGAGCATCGCAGAGCGGGCAGAGTTCTCTTCCTCGCTGCACCTCACTGAGACACAGGTGAGTGAGTGGTTCTTGTGTTGTTTGGCAACTATATTAAACACACTGTGAAGCAATGTAATGATATCAAGGCACAAAATAATGCTAAATGACGAACCAATCGGACAAGTCAATACCTTTAGATGTTTGCGATAAAATACAAGACTTAAACATCTTCAATATGTTAACATGAAACTAAATAAGCCTGATTCCCTGTATACTTTNTACTCTTCTCCAAGTTGTCCAGACCGTTGTCTGGGCTCCAACCAGTTTCCTAACCAATGTGTACCAGGGATCCTTTCCCCAGGAATAAAGCGGGTAGGAGCGTGAAGCTGATCATTCTTCTCCAACTAGTGTCGAGTTCAAGAAAACGTGGATCCATACATGCACTCCACCATGCGTCATTATGGCGTACTGCTTAATCTGCTAAGCACAGGGACAACTTTATCTTACCTTTTATTGTCCTCCGTTTCCCAAGCCTGTAAATAATGGTCTTTATTTTCCGAATCTCCGTCGCTGCCTGTGCCTATTCATTCGTAGTCTGTTCCATTCACTTTACATAACCTACATATATGTACTCCACATGGGAACTTTTATCATAAGAATATCAGCTGTGAGTCTATTTGGATGCAGCGGTTCCTGATTCGAATGTTGTAAGCCCAACGGAACACTGAGCAATTAGGTGGCTCATTAATTAAGCAATAACTTCCGCGAATCCTCACGATTCTCATATTCACTGAGGGAAAATTTAGACTACCCTCTTTGGCGGATGATCACCTTTATCCTACTAACAGTCTCTTCTTCAGTTGTTTCCTTTTTCGAGAACGGCATCGTATCACGCAGAGTATTTTAGCTGTATTTAAAAATACGTCGAAAAGCCACTGAATCTTTGTGGCTGTCTGCACATGCTTCTCAATGTAGACTGCAGCAGGGTCTGTACAGATAAAAGTACAGTCGTGATTTGCTTTCGGTTCACATTAAAACGTCTCCCAAACTCCTTCAAATAAAATTAAATTCAGACATATATAATAAGCTGTATATTAGAAAATTATTATATCCAGCAACAATAGTTTGATGCAGTATGTCCACTGTAAATTCGTATTCAATATGATTTGCCACATAAGTCCCGAAAAGACGTGATCCCTAATTTTGCATTCAGAAAATCAGAAAAAGAATCATTTTTGAGTAAATTTAATGTCATATAGTTCTGAGGGTTCTAATAAAAGTAGAAGTAAAGCAAAGATATCCCTGCAACAGACCGTGGAGCTTAGTAAGGTTGTGAGAGGTTGAGGCTAACATTTGTTCTGGACAATCGGCTCACTAATAGTGGTAAAATTGTCAGCTTTACGCGCCGGAAGCCCTTTACACCCCAGGAAGATTCTTTGTACTTATTTTTGTTAGAGGCTGAGTCAACCCCAGGGCCATAGTGCGGCTGGNTTTGTTCTGGACAATCGGCTCACTAATAGTGGTAAGTTTGTCAGCTTTACGCGCCGGAAGCCCTTTACACCCCAGGAAGATTTTTGTACTTATTTTTGTTAGAGGCTGAGTCGACCCCAGGGCCATAGTGCGGCTGGAAGAATTAGGTCAATTGAAAATTCCAATGACCTCATCGGGATTCGATCCCGCGACCTTCCGGCTTGTAATTTAGTGCCTCAAACAAATACGGTACCTCGTGCCCCCTCTGAGGGTTGTAAGCAAAAAATAAATAAGAACTTCATTATTCAGAAATCATAAATTCAAAATTGAATACCTTGCATATAATTCCAGGCAATCTCACAAAAATCATTAGAATTAGCAATATGAACTCCTCATTATCATCTTCTTCATCTTAAGGACCCAAAGAAAGAACACACATGATGACATGTCTTTGTTTAAGAAACAGTCTCTGAAAGATGCTTCGCCTTATATTTAGGACAATACATTGAAGGTAAGGTAGATCTGTCCTTGTGTTTAATTAATTAACCACCATGCCATGAAGATGTATAGTGGAGTGGAGGAATAGCTCCACCATTGTTGACCTCGGCACTAGATAGTGATTCATCGCCTTTACGCTTCGGCCGGGGAGGCCGTGATGGGCCCCAGAGCTGATCTAGAAGCTGTGGAGAAAAGAAAAAAACACTCTACACCAAGAATCAAACCCCTGCTGTCCCGTCCGTAGCCCGTCGCTACACCAGCTGAGCTCTCACGGCTCCTTATATAAGGACAAATATTTCAATATCGTGTTTTCTGTTCGACAGAAAATTTGCTGAGCGGGGACACAGTACGGTTGCAGAACGTGGTCCCCGGACACCCCACTCACCCACCACCACCACCCCCTGTACGATGTACACTGAGGAAACACAAACCGAACCGGAAGCCGCGGACACCTTTCACAACTCAGCAGTTGCTGTCTCTGGAGAAGAAGTTCCGGGAGAAGCAATACCTGAGCATCGCAGAGCGGGCAGAGTTCTCTTCCTCGCTGCACCTCACTGAGACACAGGTGAGTGAGTGGTTCTTGTGTTGTTTGGCAACTATATTAAACACACTGTGAAGCAATGTAATGATATCAAGGCACAAAATAATGCTAAATGACGAACCAATCGGACAAGTCAATACCTTTAGATGTTTGCGATAAAATACAAGACTTAAACATCTTCAATATGTTAACATGAAACTAAATAAGCCTGATTCCCTGTATACTTAAAAGTAAGTAAGCAAAGCTATCCCTGCAACAGGCCGTGGAGGCTCATAGGGTGGTGAGATGTTGAGGTTCCCATATTTTCTAGACAATCGGCTCAAAGATGGCAGCAAGGTTGTCAGCCTTACGCGCTGGCCATCCTTTAGCCCCAAGAATATTCCAAGAGTATTCCTGGTACTCATTTCTGTTAGAAGCTGAGTCGACCCCAGGGCCATAGTGCGGCTGGAAGGATTAGGTCAATTGAAAAAAGCCAATGACCGCATTGGGATTCGATCCCGCGACCTTCCGGTTTGTAGCATAGTGCCCCAACCAACTACGCTACCGTCTACCCTCAAAGACATTAAAAGTATATATAAATGGGAGGAGAATAATTGGTTTGAAGGATCAATTATGATTCGAATCTTCCAGCCTGAACTGTTAGGTTCTTTATTTAACGATGCTGTCAATATAGAGACTATACAGCTTCGATAATAAGATGGAAAACTTATATGAAGAAGTTGGTTAAATGACACTTGGCAAAGGAAACAGAAGTACTCGGATACAACCTGCACCAGTGCCACTTCGTCCACCACAAATCCCTTAATGCTTGACCTCGAATCGATAAGTAACGCAGGCTGCACCTCCTTGAATTACAGGTGAAGATCTGGTTCCAGAACAGGAGGGCGAAGGCGAAGCGACTGCAGGAAGCCGAGATTGAGAAATTGCGGCTATCTGCGCGGCCCCTCTTGCCGCCATCATTTGCCCTATTTGGGGGCCCAGGTATTCACGGGGCCCATCCCGGAGCTGGTCTCATGCCGCCCCTATTTGCAGCAGCAATGGCCGCAGCCGCAGCTGGTAGGGGCCCTCCACACCTGGGACTGTTCTCCCAGCCGGGTCCCCAACACGGCCTGATGGGCGCCTTGCAGCACCAGTGACGGACGATATCCACTCTGCAGAAATATTATGAAACGACGCCTAAACGAGAAAGAATAACCTTAATACTTACCAGACTCCCTGAGCGTTGGTCCCCTTACCGAGACTAGTCAGCTTATGTTCCTAGAAACAGTTCAGTTGTTTCCCCATCCCTTCGAATTTTCCATTCTATCTATCTCCGACGTACCACATAAGCACGAATATAAGGTGATCCCCATTTTTCCAATGATAAAATCAGAAAATAACATAGCCTTTTTGTTACAAAATTGAAAGTATAAATATGATGTTTTAGGACATTATCCATCGTCATATTTTTATCCCAAACACCGTCCTGTTTATATTTCAAAACACAACGTTTCGGAAGCTGGATTCTGTCTTCGTCTTCATGTAAAATCTATTCAGTTGGGCTCAATCGATAGAGTTAGTCCCTTGAATGTAATTTAATTCTGACAGTTGCAAGCAAAAAGGACTAAATCTTTATTATTAAGGAATAATACATTCATAATTGAATGCCTTATATATAATTCTAGGCATTTGCACAAACGTCACTACAATTAGTAATTACAACTTTCACCATCTCATCTACATATTTGCTTTTACGGACCCGAAAAAAAGTGACCTCTTTTTTCTCTAAAAAGCATTATTTCAAAACGTCAACTTATATTCACCCTAATACGATTCTACTTGTCAGTAACAAGGATTGCTTGGTTTTCGGCTTGTTTAACAATGATTTGTCGAATGCATTTGGTAACTAGCTTCATACAGCTGAGTTCTTTTCCAGAAACTCTTAGTCATTCAGTTATTGATGAAGTTTCCGCCTCTACTATGAAACCCGAAAGTTTACACGCGCTTGCCACTGGACCCTATCCAAAGCCGGCTCATTTCGGTTCACACTCTCAACACATGGTTCTTTGTGATATAATCACTTTTCTGCTATGTACGTCTGTCTCTCCCAAATGAATTTCTTCTCTCGAGGTTTAATCCATTAGTCATCTCTCCACTTGTGCAAGACGGCATCTCTTCCTGAAATTCATGATGCTAATGACATTTCGCTCAGAGTACAAATTAGAAATATCTTAATTCACCCCTTCTGTCACTGTCTCTCTGTTTTATTCAGTCTCCTGAGAACTCTTTCCTCAAATAGAAAAATAATACCAAACAATGCAGTAGTTATTAATGACTTTGGCTTACAAAGGATTTTTTAATTTATCTGTCGCGGAACGTTCAAGGTAATATAATATAATTTCGCCTGAAAGGTTTGAGAAAATCCATGAAAATCATAATTAAAACAAGCTGTGTCAGAGCCGAGAATCGAACCGAATGCCTCCTGAATACGAAGCTGAGCTTCCCACAATGTGACACTGTACAAAAGTGGGTGCCATCCAAACACTTGTTATGTATTACGATTTATCAGTGGACGTTCCTGGAAATACAAGGACAGTAGATTTCGTATGCTCAAACCGCCCGTGAGGCGTAGAGCCATGAATGAGGAGAGTTGCTTTCTTAGCAGGAATTTAAACTAATACAAAAACCCATTTTACTGTGATCTTTTATCATTGTCGATACGAAATTATAAATTACTAATTTATTTTTAATCAAGGACACTAGGCCAGGCACAAGACGAACTGGACAAGAACACGATAATGCCATGATATACAACAGACTAAACATTGAGGCTATAAAAGTTCTGTTTCACCCTTCATGTTGAAAAATGTATACACATGACAGCTATCTAATATTATGTTACGTGAAATAATTCTAAAGTTTTTTTCTAATTTTCTTAGACTCTTCCTTCAGTGAGGGGGCACGCGGTAGCGTAGTTGGTTGAGGCACTGTGCTACAAGCCGGAAGATAACGGGTTCGAGTCCCGACGAGGTGGATTTTTTTTCATTTGACCTAATCCTTCCAGCCGCACTACTGTCCTGGGGTTGACTCAGCCTCTAAGAGAAAGGAGTGCCAGGAATCTTCCTAGGGATAAAGGGCGGCCAGCGCGTAAAGCTGACAACCTCATCGCCATCTGTAAGCCGACTGTCTAGAAAATGTGGGACCCTCAACGTCTCACAAACCTATGGGCCTCCATGACCTGTTACAGGGATAGTTTACCTTCCTTCAGTGCAGGTGTAAAATTCCGTAAAAGATGCTTATTTATTATTCCCAGTTAGCAACGGTCTAAAACAACTTGACTGAAGTGTCATTGTCGGTTAATGACACAGGTTCTTACTAGGTTTTTATTTTCAACAAATTTCTCTTATTCATACGCCGGTGGTAAATTAAAAAATATTGAGCAAATACATCTTTTTCCACATGACAGAAGGAATTTATGGGTCCTAAAAGTTTTAAGGCCGACCACGGTAGCCTAGCAGTCTAAGGCATGCACTGTCTTCGCTCGCTCGGAAGCCGGGATCTTGGGTTCGAATCCCAATCAGGGCGTGGATGTTTGTGTACGATTTTCTGTATTTATATATAGGTAGAGGCCTTGCGACGAGCTGATCACCTGCCCAAGGAGTCCTACCGTATGTCTGAGATATAGTAAAACCGAAGTGAAACGGAAAGTTTCATGGAGGTAAGCCTAGGCCCAAATGAGGGCTGTAGCGCCAATGAAAAAAAAAAGTTTTAATGGGTGTACTGTTTGTCACTCTGAAACCGGAGACATAATTTACAGACCTGCCTGAACTTACATTTTCAATACATCATTTTAACTATAAATTATTAGTACCTTATTATGTTTTCCTACTCTTTAGAACTCCAGCTTACACTAGTAATATTATATTAGGATTTAATGTAAACGAAATGTTTAATGTCTTTACCATATATTTAATTTATTTCTTTGGGGAGAGAAGGGGAATCAAACAGAAAAATATTTTTTTTTTATATTCTTTCCGAAGAAGCCTTCACTTTCAAGGTTGAATGCATGTATTTAAACAAGGAACGAGAAGAAACCTTAGCTTCCTACGCTTTATTATATCATGAAAATGGATACTAAACGTTCCTCCGAATGCTTTGTGGATTTGTATCAGACTGTACAGCGTCATATCCCAGAAGACGGTGCTCTTCATAGTCACCGCTGTGAGAACCTCAAATCCGACACTAAAATAATAAATTTGCTTACAGGAGAAGAGAAATCTCTCTAAATAATCAGAAAATATGTTATAACTTTGAGGAAATCATTTTGAAATGTTATAATACAGTTTTGCTTATATTAATTCAGATATTATGCAAATGTGTTGAGACAGAAATAATATATTATCATCTACAATTTTAACTTGAATTTAAGAAGAAATAAACAACACTTTCCACAACACAAATCAATACCAAACAGGAAAGGCTTGCGTATTATTCTTTTCTGATAGAGGAATACAAATTATTAGATGCTATTTTTGCTGGTCACTGTCATGAAATGTTGCCTGTACCACCTGGAATTATATTGCAAACACAAACACCTTTCATTTTATAAATCAAATGAAGTGGCCCCTGTGCGTTTTTCTTGAATGAAAAAAAAACTAAAATTATTTTTAAAAGTACTGAAATCTTGGTGTATCAATTTGAAATAGAACTACAGTCTCATTATAATGTAACCATCACACGAAGTCCTGTTTTAACACGAAAAAATACTCGATAGATTACATAAAGCATGCTGCAGAATTCAGGTAAGGACAGCATGCAGTCCTTAGTTGGCTGAAAGAGCAGAAGATTACAACTTGATGAAGTGACGCGTAGAAATCTCACTTCCTGTGTCATTTTTTGTAAGTTAAGTGTGATACAATTTGAACTTAAAGCGGTCAATGTAAAGTGTAAGGGACCAGACAACAAAAATGGAACACAGCTGATGTCTGAGTGTGGTTCAGTTAAGCAATTCCACAAAGTGATAACGTGACTTTTATTGATAATTTTTGTTGTACAACTATCTGTGACGTAATACTTGTTTTCGCGTTCCTTTTCCTGTCTTGTTGATATTGTATCATGATGTATATTATTGAGATAGTGATCTCATGAGTGTGTTCAGACAGTTTCTCGAATTTTTGTGTTCTCTTTTTTTTTTAATGAAAAGTTGTTTTTATAAGAAGAAATGTTTGTGACTCTATTCAATCTTAAGATTACCTCACCAATAATTTAATTTTGTTCGTCAGTATTATATCACTCTATCCGTACCGACTTTCTTTTTTACATTTCCTCGAACAAACCGACCTTCCAAGGAGGACAAGGACTTTTGTGCTTCTGCTGTCTCTTCCAATACGCATCACCTAATTCATAATTCGAATCATTATTTAATACAACATTAATACGAATTATAATCATGTTTTAAATATCTTTTACAAAATAAGCCACTTAAAATTCTATCTTTTGGGACAGAGGCCTTTTAGTCTGTTGAAAGTCAACCGACGTTTCGGAGGAAAATATAGTTTCTATCTTCGGGGTCGAAGAATAAGCAAAGAAAGAAACCAGTGTGAAAGCATGTGGCAAGCAGAGCAGCCTGCTTCACGCTGGTTTCTTGCTTGCATTTTCGTTGACCCTGGAGACGGAGGTGACCTGTTCCACCGTAACATCTCTTATCTTTCAACGGGCTACACGGTGTTTGGTCTTCATAACCACCGCTATGAGATCCTAAAATCCGGCAGAGTTCATGTAGATATTTACATATATCTGATTCCACTAACAGAAGAATTCACTGATCAGATTTTCAGGCACTTAAGGACGCTCTCTGATTTGCTGTAGCTACGTGTATATATTGTCTCAAGGCAAGACTGTGAAAGAAGAACGCGGATGGGCTTGGATGGACACTGTCATGTCAAATCTTAATGAACCATTCCTGAATTCACCTGGAAGCGCAGAGGAAAATCACAATACACTTGTCAGGATGGTGAATCTGCAGGTCCAGATATGACACCGTAAATGCATTGATCCTAACTGCTCAGCCACGTTGACAGTCGGTGAATTATTAAGTGATTCCTGACAGAAGGAAAGGATGTTTCATATTTCAGCAGCACCCAGACCGACTCTGGGATCCACCGAGCCTCCTATAACATGGGTACCTGGGGATCCTTTACCTGATATACAGCGTAATCCTTCCAGCCGTACTATGGCCCTGGTGTCGACTCTATCTCTAACAGAAATGATTATCAAGAATATTCTTGGGGGGTGGGGGGGTACAGTGCTGCTGACGCGTAAGGCTGACAACCTCACCGCCATCTGTGAGTCAATTGTCTAGAAAATATGGGAACCTCGACCTCTCACAACACTATGGTCCTCCACGGTCTGTTACAGGGATAACTTTAAGTTTTACAGCGGCAGAGGCCTGATGCTGATAACTCACCTATAATAATAAGTGCTGCGGTCAAGAATGGTGGAACCATACCTCCATTCCCCCATACGCATTCATGGCGTGCTGTTTACTTAATGAAAAAAAAAAACGACTTTACGTTTTTCGTATTTTATGAAAACAAAGACGACGATTTTAAGAGGAAACGTTAAGTCTAAGAGTAAGATGAAACTCATCAGATGAATTACTTTGGACGAGATTAGCATCTGCGTTTTATTCTTGTTTGTTTCTTTGTTTATTTTATTTTGATTTTTAATTCAGGAAAGCAGGGATAAATCAAATAGATGACTGAAACGTTTAACCATTTAAAGTACAGTGGTTATTACGTGTATATGACAAATTTTGCTGATAGAGGGTGTCACGTGGTCAACCCAACGGATCGCTACGGCCACTAATCTCGGTTTTCTAGACCGAAGTCGCTATTTCCTTGAACTAGATCCTCAATTATCCTCACGAGGCTGAGTGGAACCCGTTCCGGACCCCATACTTCTCAGAAAATCTGGTAACGCCGGGAATCGAAACAGGAACCTCTGAATCTGTAGCCAGGAACTCTGACCACTAGACTACAGAGCGCTCGGTTGACATAGTTCGCTTGCAGACTACAGACCACGGAGTTAGGTTATTATATGCACAATTTCTTTTAACATTAAACATGTTAACATTTTGCCAGAAGACCTTTGTTTATGTGCTTCGTGTGACTCTCAGAATAAAGAGCAATTATTGCTCTAAACAGCTCTAATCAATGATCTCTAGACAGAGGGTTTCCTTTGAGCAGGAGTTGAGTTTTTAAACATTATTCAGAAGGAATTGGCGCTATCGAAAATAAGAGTATGCATACGTGTACGAGTATAGTGGTCATTTGTCCGTTGCACTTTGCGCAATATAAACCAATAACTTCGAAAGATTTTCAAACATATCGTAAACCATGTAGATATTAATGAGATGAGGACCAATGACTTTTGTTGCACACACATTTCATGTATAGAGGGCCGTTTTTGAGATATTCCATTAAAAAATTTTAATTGGAGTCGAAAAATTTAACAATCGGAAACAGAACAGAGGGGCCGCTTGACAGAAATAGCTTGTACATTACATTTTAATTTCCTGCATACACTTTCACAAAACTTACCTAATTAAATAAGGCATCCGCAGATTGTGGAGAAACTAACAAAAACATAACTTCAGTCTTTTGTAATTACTAATGCCGTATCAATAGTCCTCTAATTTAGCCGACCCCTTCCACTCTGGCGCGTCTGAGTATTTACAATTAAAACGCCGTAAAGGATCTTGTAGAAATCGCCTTTGAGAGAGCCGGCCCTTACAGTAACCGAAAACACAAACTAAACGACTGCCTTCAGTTTAAGTTAATTTCGAACATAGAAAGATTTATACTTCCAGTAGCGGGAGACTCAAGGGTCAATAGCTTCCAGGTCAGGGGTGTGGAAACGCTAAACTGAAGTCTTATCGGGCGTTGAGGAAAGTACCCGAAACGATGTTTCTGTACTC